CAATCCCGTGTTGAAGGCGAAATTGCAGAAAAAGGCGCCTCCCAAGACAAACCAACTGTCAGTTATCATAGCCAAGGCCCTTGAGCTAGATCTGCTGGACACGSGTAAGTATATTAGTYAGGGAGAAGAAGACATTTCGGACACGATCCAAGACGTGGCGGCCAAGAGATGATCCTAGCTCAAAGCATTAGGGCGATTCTACCCTCGTCCTGATCAGGACTACCAAGATGGCCCCGCCCCGGATCCTTCCCCACATCACTCCCTCCCCCTCACGAAACCTCCTCTCCCTCCTAAACCGGTACCTGTGAACACGGTCAACAGTTGGTAAAAGAGTGTGGGACCTTCTAACCCGATTCTTTGACTCGTGGGAGGCGGGACTCTTGCCTGATAAGTCTAGCGTGGCTCCGGTGGATCAGCAAGGTAAACAAGTTGCCATAGCTGGTCCAACAAATCGCCTGACAGGTACTCCGTCTGCATTCGAGACCCTCCGCAAAGCGCGTGGAAGGTGTTCCGAGACTTGACTGCAAGGGAGAAGGAAATGGTGTTAGACATGATATTGGACCGCAGGTGGTTGTCACAACGGGGTGGACGCTCAGCAAGAACTTGTTGAACATGGACGACATTCGGGTTGGAGTTCGGCTTGAGAGATACATGATACGCCTCTTCAATTATGTGATTTTCAAAACGGAAGGTCGCAAGGAGGACGAGTGGAACAATGAGTTCTTCATTGACTACTCGCATATAATGGATAGATTTGCCCCGGCGGGACTCACCAAGGAACAATGGGAGGAAAACAAGACGAAGGTGCCAGCTCACAGGGTTGAAAGATGTGTCAAAACGTTTCGGGGGCATTGACGAACCAAAGGTGGGCAAGGTGGGAAGGTTCAAGTTGACGCGGACACTATATGCGGAGTGTCCGTATTATCTGAAAGTGTTCATGCATGAAATCATCGGGGCTATCGACCACCTGTGGGACGAGTTGCCGCGCAGAAGTGCAAATGCGCGGCACGTGATGTGGGATACAAACAACGATCATACTACGTTTCTTCCGATATGCTTGGCAACGTACGAGGCGCTGCAACCATCAGAGGAGATGACACGAGCTATTAAGAAGCTCAATTGCAGCCTCACAGTCCTTGACCTGTGCCCGCGCAAGTCAACAACCCCGCACGAGTGGTCAGATTAGAGATTCGCAGTGCTACCAGAGATGATGAATACCTTTGTGGCCCGGATTGGGTCATTGTCATATTCTCGCCATTAGAGTCGAGCAAACCGTATTGAAGAACATGCTTCGTTGGGATCACGTCAAAGTGATTCTAGGTCGGTGGGAGAGACATTTTGGAAAAGACCAATATGTCGTTCCTGCTGGAAATTTTCCACTACGACCTCGGGACTGCATGACCATTGTCATGCATGCGTTGAACAATGACTACAAGAAGGTGACTGTGCAGCCACGAAACCATGTCACATTGTTCGACGATAACGTGAAGGAGGATTTATTTGTGCAATGCACGAACGAGCATGTTGGGATATCAGACGATACAAAAGCCGTGTACGGCACTGGGAGAGAGAGCCAAAAAAAGTGAAGGAATTGTGCAAATGGTTCGCAAAGGATGGCGAAGGTGTGCTGCTGCTCGGGAATGTGCAGGCAGGGTCAGTCTGGGAAGTGTTGCGGTCAGGACACAATGTTGTTGCGTGTGACAACAATTCAACAATGCTCGATTGGATGTCCACATTCCTCTATATACAGGTCCACAAACCAGAAAGTTGTTACCACTTCGAACGACCCAAAAATCCGTGGCTTCCAGAGAGAGACATGTACCTCAAGCTTGGCAAGAAGAGGGACTCTCTGTGGAAATACTTGTTCGACAACGCCCTGAAGACTCCAAAGGACATCGGTTATATGCACCGAAAAGTGATTGCCATCCAACATCTCCAAGGCTACCATGAGGCGAAGAATGGTGTAATTGAAATATTCATAGCGCGGTGTGAGCGTTTGTGGTTCAACAAACAAGAGGACAGACTGCGTGCGAAGACATGCGCCGATGAGTTGGATGCGGGTGAGCACTTCGATGTGCTTGACAGCGAGGAGGAGACATCAGACGACAATATGGATCTGCCTATACCGGATGCGCAAGAAGATGTTCAACAGGCGTTTGACGGTGGCGAGGGTCGTCCAACAATGGAGGGGATAGAAACAAATGTCGTGGCAAGTAGGGAGAGCATTCGTGGTGGGGAGCAGAGGTCGTGTGAACAAGGAATGCAAGAGAGTGTAGGGAATGAGATCCGGGGGCCAGTTGGTGCATGCAATGCAAGCAAGAACAACAACAAAGAAGGGTTGCGGCCAGGGACGGCCTCGTTAAGTGGAAAAAAGCCACATCTCCAATCCAAAGGCAAGGAAAGCAGTGCCAGATACCCAGGGATATTGACTCAGCTGGACAACATGTATGTGAGCATGGGCCTGTCAAAGATCCCAAGAGAGAACCAATATAATGTGCCCCTGGAGGAAAATGAACAGGTTGGCAGAATGGACGTCAACGCCATCAAATTCGCACTCCCGCCCGACGATGATGACAAACTGATGCCAGGAGACACAATTCGAGAGGACATGAAGGAGTTCACTGGAGGCCCGCACTTCGTGCAGCACAGTGGGACAGTGGTTGAGACAAAAGACCACCAATGGGGGCATCATATATTATGGCACCCGAAGGTCTTCGAGCCCTGCGTATGGAACGGGAAATGGCACATGGCTGTGTGCATCGATGGCCAGTGGCAATTGCGAAAGCGGGTATTGAAGAGCAAGTTTTTCGAAATCGCAGAGGAACAGGTTCATATCAAAGTGCGGCAGACAAACGGTGGATCGGACAGCCTTGCACAAGGAGCATATGCCGACACACTTTATGACAAGTTGCGAGATCAGAACATGCTGGAGTGCAACGCAAACACTCATGACATTGAATCTAGTGTGTCGCACGGTCCGATCCCTTGGAAATTGCCTAGTCGAGAAGTGCTGCAAGAGTTTGAAGGTGAAATACGTCTTGGTAACAGTCAGCAATTGGGACATGACGGTATCCACGCTTCGACGAGCACAGCAGGACGTCCATTCACGAGCTCCGTTCATAGTGACGAGCAAGTGGATGAGAGAGGAATGATATGGAAAAATTTGTGGGCGACAAGGATGAGTCAAGAAGAGATAGAGTGCAGGCCGAGCATCAATCGTTCCACCCTCCACTGCAACAGGAGGATTCCGCGGAGGACAAAGAGTCAGCGGATCGCTTCGCAACAATGGAATCTCCCAAGGTTTGCACGGGGTCGGAACCGCAAATGGTTGCGGAGCCAATGTCCATGCAAGGAACTGAGTTGACGAGAGAAGAGTCGGTGCCACACTTGAAGGGGATAAAAGATTTGTTAGAGAACACACCTGATTTGATGCTTCGACTGCTTTCTGGCGGCGGCGTACTCGAGAGTGGGTCAGTTGGTGTGCAGAGGAAAAAGAACATTGTGGCCTCAATGGGAAGAGACGACGACGAACTTCAATGAACCACGACGGTTGGCGACAAGCATCAACAGCCCAAGCGCAAGAGAGAGGATGACGATGATGTCATTGATATCGGGACACAGTCAGGTGAGCAATCAGAGCGTGGTGAGGACGGGGACGACCGACAAAATGAGAAAGAACAAGAGGAACACCACCATGTGACATTGCAAAAGGAGGATGTAATCTGCAATAAGAAGTCAAAAAAAGGAAACACAGCAAACAATGTTGTGCTCCGACGTCCGGGGAGACCTACGACAAAAAAGACACGGCATGACGACTAGTTGTGTGCAAAGAAATGATTGTATGTGTGTGAGAAGATGTGTTTGTGTGTAATTATGTATGTGTGTGTGTGTGTGTGTGTGTGTGTGTGTGTGTGTGTGTGTGTGTGTGTGTGTGAATTTTTCTGCATAGGCGCTCGTAGGTAGGCTAATGTTCGGGTTTCGGAGGGGTTGTGTTGTTGTTTTTTTTTTTTTTTTTTTTTTTGCGAGTTGCGAGGGCTCTAAATTAAATTTAGTAATTCACAAAATGTATAGAATTCAGACACATAGAATTGCCTCCCATAAGGCATAATGGCGGGACATTAGTAGTAGGTGCGCATTATTATAAACACACGTAATCTCTCTCTCTCTCTCTCTCTCTCTCTCTCTCTCTCTCTCTCTCTCTCTCTCTCTCTCTCTCTCTCTCTTTGATCAGATCATCGAGTGTCACCATAACATCCGATGATCAGATCATCCGACGTCATGGGCCAAAAAAAACACTGAAAAAGGTTGTTTTTTTTCTACCTCTCTCTCTCTCTCTTTCTGTCTGTCTGTCTCTCTCTCTCTCTCTCTCTCTCTCTCTCTCTCTCTCTCTCTCTCTCTCTCTCTCTCTCTCTCTCTCTCTCT